CAGCATGAAAACAAGCCTGAACCCAAAGAGTAAAACTGTATACTGCCTGAAGAAACATATTTCTATACGTCTCCTTCTACATTTATTATGTTTCTGTCAGACACCCTGTAATTAGCATAAATAACTATAGTTCCAAGCAGCAACTTTTGTCTGCAAATTCTATGGTTTAGGCTGCACAGATGCACTCCAGATAGAATGAAGGAAAATCCAAGGTGTTACGATGACACAAACCGGACAATAACTTCACTCTATTTATTAAAAAGGGGGTGTTCCAGCTGAAGGCGATGGCTTGCATCTGAATATAAACCACTGGAGCTCTGGGCCTTGTTTAATTATACCTGCCTTGACCATACCAACCTACCTCTTAACCTGTCTTGCTCTACAACAGAGTGAACTTTCTTTAAAAATAAATCAAACACCACATATTCCTCCCTCCCCACCCCACTCCTCACACACACACACACACACATAGCCTTGATTTGATTCTGTTAATCATTTGTAAAGATCATCTGCACACCCCAAGAGCTGGTTAAATAACATGGTGACTGTGTGAGAATCCAAGACACCTAAGCATAACAGCCCTTAACAGAGGGATTTGTTAGTATTCAGAAAATTCTAGACAGCCGCTCCAGATGATTTTTCAAACATACCACAGGCACGTATCTTAGTGAAAGCTAAGCTTTCAATGCAATTTCCCAAGCTCAACCGAGGCAAACGGCTAACTGAAACAAGGAGGGATTAAAATATATATATCTTCACTTCTTGAACTGCAGCAAAATGGAGGAGCCTATAACCAAACCCTAGCCTCCCTGTTACGAATTTACAAGCTCCTACTAACCTCTAAATATATTTTTCTTCCCCAGGAGGTATTTTCTTAAAGCACCACAAAATCACCAGAAGCAGCAAAGAATAAAACACATAGGAACCCGTAGAGACACACAGACAAAGCCTTCAGGTTTTAAAATTACACCTGCTGGGGAAAGAGCATTATATAAACATTGGCGAGAAAAATGATACAATCGAGCATATAGTAATATTGCTAATATTTTACCCTGATAATAACAGCATCAGAAAGTGCGTGCATGTTTAGCCACAAAGCAAACAAAATTATATGAAGTGAGATGAACGCGAACAGCGTGGTGTCTTTTTGACTACCCATGTTTTTTACATAAAAATAAGGAAAATGTACACAAAATTGTTAAAGCCAATAAATTCACATCCTCATGCCTTCTGGTCTAATATCATAATTAAAAAACAGTAGGGGAGGTTTTAACTTTTATTGCGTTTCTGGAGTTGTGTTGCTAAACATATATTAACTTCAGGCTTCTATTTCTCTACAGGGATGTAGTCTTTGGTATAAAATCAATCTTAATATCTACAGAATAGATATTTTTTCTTGTACATGCTGTTAGAAGAAAGGGATAAACATCTGCAAATTGTTAATACAGAAAAGGCGAAATGGTATGTATATATATGTATATATATAATGAATCTTTTAAATCATTCAATTATCACAGCACTAATGTCAAATAATTACACTTAAAACGAGCAATAATCAGCCTTTTCCCTGTTGAAATATTAATTTACAGTACCACAAAGGAGATTTTTTATTAGTTTGTTTTTTACAACTTGCATATTAAATTTTTCAAACCTGGTTCAACCTAGGTGTCCAAACCAAAAGTCGTTCTCCATGCAATACTGCTTTGAACCAAATCCAGAGCTATGATGCCCTTTCCACACTTTAAAAAGATCATATTAAATACCGCAGACAAAGAAAAACGATACGTTTTAAAACTGTTGGCTTAGGACTATACATTTACTTCTTTTCACGTGCTTTTTTGTCTGATCTGAGCTATAATATCAACATTAAATGTCTCTCCTAGGTAGAAGGGACATTTCTGTTTCTACAATCGAAATGTATTGTTTGCGCCGAAAGTTTGTTAAGGAACTGTTAAGCATAAAGTTAGAGTAGGACGCAAACACAGAAATGTTACAATACAAGAAAAAAATATATATATACTGCCCTTTCTCCCCCACAAAAATCTGGACCCGATGTAAGAAAAAGAATGGACTCTGAGATTTTGCACACCCAAAACAGTCATAGTGGTCTTATCATTATACTTTCCCCACAACAAAACTTTTCCCCCCTCTATAATGTCAACACAACGTGGACTGGGAATTTCTTTTATAATAACACAACACACAATATCTGAAGATTCACTTCTACTGTCTCAGCCCCTTTTCTCTAATTATTTTGTCTCCTTTTTCTTCTCCTTATTCCTATCTGTCATTGGTATTCTTGAGGGGGAAACACACACGCACAAATACACACATGTATTATTTGTGTGTAACCCTGGATTTTTTTTCCAAATAGGTGACTAGTAGATGTAACTTTCCAAACGTTACCAATACGCTTTCTTTTTGGGGGTGGGGGGAATATCTCCTTTTACTTTGCCAAAGAAAGATGCTAATCATATAGCCTAGCCGACTCATTTTCTTAATCAACAGTTACTTAGCTTTTACACGTGTCCTCAGTGGATAATAGTTCATAATCCAGTTTGTAGTAGAGCAACACAAGATTATGTGTTCTTAAAAGTGGAACCCCTTGATTATAGCACCTAAAATGGCTATTACATTTTAAATCTGATGCTTCTGCTGTTCTATAGACAGAGCGGAAGGTAAATTTGATTTCCGCTTTCTGCTTTGTTCTTCAGTGCACCTTCAAGGACCAAAATACGCTGCAAATGATCAGATTGAATACTGAGAGGGCTGTACAGGAGACGGAAACAGTAGCTTGTTACATAGTCTGGACTAGCTCTTCCAATGTGTATTTCCCTTCAAGACACCCCCAACAGCATAATGCCAGTTCTCCAAACAACATCATAGGTCCAATTCATGTTCATGACTGCTAGGTCAGGAACCATTTTTTTTTGCACAGTGGGATTAAAAGAAAAGAGAGATCATAACAGAAGGAGACATGGAATCAAATCATTCTGCCATTAGTAAGACTTTGTCCCTTCATGCCAATCATCGTGGCGTGGCTTTGTCGAGGCTTTACGGTCTGCAGGCTGACTACATAATTTGATAGGAATTCGAAAGGAAGGATCCTTTGTCCTCCTCAATAATATGTCGACCAGAAACAATAAGGGAAAGAAAATTCATCTAACTCAATAACTAAGTAGAGGATAGTGGGGGGCTTAAGGGGGAGGGGTGGGGGAAGTAAAAAGACCTGAGGCTAAGGGAACCTGTCCTCACACATTTGTCACCACCACGTTTCTGTGTGAGTCCCGGGTCTCTACCAACTGAATGAAAGTTCTGTAGGAAACAATTTGCTCTCCGCTGAACCCCAGTGCTTGGGTAGCTCGAAAGCTGCGTGCGTGTGTAGCGGAAACGGCTGCCCTTGATGAAGACTAACTGACGTAATTAAGGCAGTTTCTTGTTGCCGAGCTAAAAGCCAATCCCAACAACATGAAACTACCTAAACCACAGATCAGCTGCATGAAAGGGCGGGAGATCCACAACATTTCGGTCAGAGAGGAGGGGGGGGGGGAGAAAAAAGAAAGAAAAAGAAAGAAAATCACCTCCTGTGTGGCTTTTCATCTCTCGACAACCCTTCTCCCTTCCACGAAATTGAAATGCCAGCATTGCAACATACTATACCATCTCCCCAAGAAAAAGATGTTTTCCTCCTTCCAATTAGGCAGCATCTTTAATCTCTTCATTAAGCCCCTCCTAATATAAGCTGCATTGACTTCTCTTCTCTCTCTCTCACACACACTCTCTCTAACCGCGTTTGAAGCGTTTAACTAGCTAGCTTTAAAACCTTGACTTATTGCAAGCCACGCCAGTCTTCATTTCCAAAGTGGCTGTATTCTGACATTATCCATTTTAAATTGCCACAGAGAACAAGTATAGCAAAGTTTCCCCCAGAAAATGCTTCACAGACAGAAATCCACAGGGCTCCAAACTGCCACCAAAACCCTCATGCCTACACTATCCTTAACATCCTCCTTAGAAAGACACTGCAGACATCTCTGAAATATATGCACACACCAAGGCAACATATTGTTTTACAAGTCCTTCATCCATGCCACCAAACAAACAAAAAAAAAAAAACCAAGAATTCATACCTATGGATAAGTGTCTGTCTTTAGCTGAGCCCAACTTCATACAAGTAAGTTTTAAAGGGGGAGGGGAAGATGGAAATATATGCGCAATATTTTCTCAACCATGCATTTTTCTCTCTGAAAATTAGCTGGCAGTTGAATAGGAAATCTCAGTTAAAAAAAAAAATTCCAAGGAACCCGTACTTAACACACGGTCCGTAAGACTGCAGCTTCAAAGTGTAGTTCATATCCACTCTGTCTTTACCTTGGTATAGAGGAAAATATATCCACTTGTGCTTCAGACATGCAGCCAGCCAAGAAATCGTCTCTCTTACCTTTCCACTCCTTCCACTTGACATCCCATTTTCTGTTTTATTTAAGTTTATTCCCTTTAATAGAGATTCTTCCTTAGACCACATAAGGAGCGTGTGTTCCCTTAAAAAGACCCAAAAGCAATGAGTAGTGTGCATCCAAAGATTGCTGTTTCAGCTCTGCCTTCCTTCCCTCCTCCACAGTCACCTTTAAATGCATCTTTTACTGCTGCCGCACATTATATTTGCAGATCATAAAATCCACCTCCAGCGCTTACCAAGACTGTCCTGACATTACTGTTTTATGACCTTGACTTATTGTGGTCACCTGGATAATATTTAAATCAACGTTATGGTCTCTCACTTATATTAAACCCGCTAGGATACTCTCCTGAAAGCCTTAAAAGGATGAGTCCTGGGGAAAAAAAAATACATGGGGGAAGGAAAGTGTTTTAAAAAAACACTTTAAAAAAACCCATTTGTAGACAGTTCTATGAAATTTATTTTGCTCCATAAAGGAAGATACATGCAAAGTATAACACATACAGACTATATTTAAATAACACAACCACGATAAATTGACTTTTTTCATGATAAGATACCAATACTGCTTTATTTTTTGTCTTAAATATATGGTTGATAGTATCACTTCATGGGAAGAAACTGCATAACTACAGCATGTGAGCATGTTGCCACTGCAACTTTAATTTACAGACACATATGAAATTCGTCTTTTAGTCGTTTTATTATACAATAGGCAGACTACACTAGAATATGAAAAGCAAACTTTTAGACGCATCTATTATCCTAAACATAATATGCATAGAGAAGGATCCTTCTGTTTTGTGCTGCACGTAAATAACTTAAACATTTTATAAGCTGTTTTAGCAACCATATCAATCTTTTATTTTACATAGAAACATGGATGCAATATATATTCTCATGCTTATACCGATGCATCTTCGCTCTACAAACTGCAAATACCCAAATGACGCTTATGAGGTCCTTAATTTTTGCATACGCATTGCATTGATACCCAGAAAAAAATGAACAAGGTTTCTTTTCCCCCTTTCCCCTTTCCTTAAATATTATTGAACACGCTCAAGTAAAATTAAAATTGGAAGTCAGTTCGCGAATTCGGTTCTCTCTGTTCATTTTCTTGAGTTTCATCCTGCGGTTCTGAAACCAGATTTTGACTTGTCTGTCTGTCAGGTTAATACTCTTACTAATCTCCAGGCGGCGCTCACGGGTCAAGTACATATTGAATAAGAATTCCTTCTCCAATTCCAGCGTCTGGTGTTTAGTGTAAGGACACCTTTTCTTTCTTCCGCTCTTTGCTGTCAGCCAATTTCCTGTAGTGTTTTCTGCCTTTATATCCTCTGTTAAAAATAACATTATTATATAAGTATCCGTGGAATAGGAAAGAGAATTTACCAGGCTAAAGATTGTTAAAAAGCAGCTTCTTTGGTGGAAAACAATCACTCCCCTATACACAAATAAAACGGTTGTGCTTATGGCTCAATTTATTTTTATTTTTGAGGTGTTTTAGGTTTAAAGGACTCATTAAATACATATTTAAATGTCCAATTGTTTCCACCGACTATCACCAAATCGCTAAATAAATCCACGTTAACAATATGAACCTATACATCAGATCCATGCAGCCAAGGCTAAATTATAGCTCACACACTAACTATGCCTAGTTCAAGTAACGGACATCATAGTGAAATACAATTTCTTTTCGGCTCTTACACTATTCTAGAGAGCAGGGTTGTCCACACGTCAGACATGTCAACAGAATATAATTTTATGAAATTATTCATGGCCTTTCGTGAACCACATGAAGGCTTTTTTTAAAAAAAAAATCTTAAAATCAACAGTGTAACTTTCCTAAGTTCCGTAACTGTTCTGCCATTGCTTCCTTCTACACACACACATACGCTTTACTACAAAAGCATCATCTAAAGTGAAATCTGATTATTACCCTCTGAAATATCTGGTTCACTGAAGCACGGTCGTCTAGCAGAGGTCAGATGCTTGGAGTCTGTGAAGCACATTAATATCAAGTGTATTTTTCGTAAACACAGACGATGTGAAATGGATTTGCCTTTATAAAGTGTGCGTATATATGTATCCTTTGTAATTATATTTCTTATATATACACAGCCTCTCTTATACACTTACACTCACACTTCATAAAGTAAAATGCATGTGTTTGCTATATCTAGATAGCAAATATTTATATAGCAAATATTCAAATCCCAAGTATTTGAGATATATATAAATATATTATAATTCTTTATATATAATACTTGGGATTTGAATTTGAGCATTGGAAAATTCTGGCATCAGTAGTCGCCTATATTTACGTCTAACTATGAAAGAAGAAAATGACATGTCCTATGACTACAATAATCCACTTATTTTTATATTCATGCTCGTTTCAGAAGATTCTGCGATTGGAAATAAGAACTTTACTTAACCACTTATGCCTTAACAATGAGTATATTTGCAATTAAGCCACCATTAAGTTTGCAGATGCCCTTTCATGCTATTGAACCTTGGAAATTCTCGCTAAGCCTCTAGCTTTCCAAAATTCTTAAATTGGATTCAAAAATCGCACCTTGGCAATGAATAAAATTCTGATTCAACAAAAAGGAAAACTTAAGCTTTAAAATAATTTTATTTAAAGAAAACCACAAACAAACAAAATCCGCCTCATACTGGCTCTGATGATTAAAAATGCTATTCACGATATATTAATTTCTGAAAAAGCAAAAGTTTGGAAATCAATTACTTTAAACATACACCCATTTTGGTTAACACCAATATTGCAGGAGAAACCTTTATTCCCCCCCCCCCCAAATTATAGTTCAAAACCAAAATAATCCTTCTGTTAACTCCCACGAAAATATATCTTGACATGAAAATAGGACGCGCTTTGTGAAGAGAAGTTTGTAGGGATTTTGATAAACTTGACTTTGTGTTTTGTGTATTTGTAACTCAGCTGTCAGATAAAATAATGTCATTGGGTGCGGAATAAAATGAAAAGACTGTTTTGGACTATATATTTTGTTTTGTTGAAAGGCCAATTTTAAAGGTGATTTTGTATGAAGATATCTTTCACAAGAACGACAGTGGGTATGAAATATCTGTATGCTCTTCTGGTACCCATACACAGAGGATGTATGTGAGTATACACACCATACCACATGCACGTATATGTATATGCATATACAAACTACATAGTTACTAAACTGCTTCGTTTCTGATTGATTTCTAGCATATTACAAATTATTGGACACGGAAGCTATTTTAACCCATGCACCACAGTCAAATAATAAAATCCGTTGCTTAGATCTCCATCCGCTCCCAATAATATTTTGTGCTATGTATTTTACGCCAAATTTTCAGAGAATTCCACTCATTCATACATATACCTCTACTTAATGACCCAACATAAATACTTAAAACAGTCTATCTTGAATCTAGGTCTTCAAGGACAACTGAATATTAAGATAAACAAACATTTCAACCCACATGAATTTCTACAATGAAAATACAACATGGTAAATGGAAGTCTCTCCTCATAGAAACACAAACTTAAAACATCTGTTTCACACCCAGAAACAATTTTGCCTTCACAAACAAGACCTCAATTCGCCAGCAAAAAAGCTTTTTCAACGAGCAATGAAATGAAACACAATACACAACCCAAACCTGAGATGTTTGCAAGTGAAAATAAGACTCAATCCGTGTTTTCTTTTTCTTTTTCTCCTCAGACATTTTATACTGAGCAAACAAAAAGAGTAAAAATTGCCTTATACGACCACATAAAACATTTAACTAGAAAATAACATGAGGTAAATGTCTGGCTAAACTGATTTTTGTAATCTCATTGCCATTTTAGACTATTCTAAAAGCCACCTAATCTTATTAAATATACACCGTTCCTAGCAGCTACATACCTAACTAAATACATGCACAAGTCTCCCCTTTAAATAGCGAGAGGGTGTGTTTTAACACATTTGACTGCTCTATTTTCTCAGTGATTTTTATTTCGAGTAAGAATTTAAAAACAACTGCAGCAATTCAGACATAAGTGCGGCGAAGTTTGCAGTGTAAAGTGCATCTTATTATTATTATGCTGAGCATTTTCTGAAACCAGTTACCGATAATGAATAATCCCTTACCTTTTGCTTCATTGTCAGAATTGTCTGTGCTGGTGTCAGTGCTTTTATTCAGGTCTTTCTCTGCTTCCGAAGGGCTTATTTTTGGAGCGGGGGCGCTTGTTTCTGTTTTAATTTCGTTGGTGGGTGTGTTCTGGGTATTATCTGTTTTTGTGTTTTCGGGGAAACTCACTTTAGCCACTGGTGGTGGGGCTTGTTGTTGTTCCAGACGCTCACTCCTTGGGTTCAGACTCGCCCTGGAGTCAAAACTTGTCTCAAACTCATTTGGATTGTTGCAGTTTGGCGTCTTCTCCATAGAGGAATAACCTTGGCCGGCTCGATAGTAGCTAGGAACAGGGACTTCATGATCATTTAGGCAAGAATCAGGCATTTGATTGGGGTAGAGGGCTGTCTCTGTGGCATTTTTCGCCCTTTTATCAGCGTTATACATGCAGCATACATTCTCTTCTTTGACATTGGTTGGGAAAGAGCAGGATGGGAGCTGTCTTGCAACAGGTTGTTCGATTCTGTAAGTATTTTTTGGGTCACACCAAGTGTCTAGCTGAGAAAGGTAAGATGGATAGGTGTTGAGAGACAGGCTGGCGGTATTCACCTCGTCTCTTTTGGAAAGAGACGGGATAATTCCACAGTTTCTCATCATTCCACAGCTGAAATCGCTCCCAGGCTGCATATACATTCCTTGGTTAGAGGAATAATTCTCGCCTCTACAGGTACCGGCCAGCGAGTCCATCAAAAAGGAGTTAGAAGTCACATTGTTGGGACATGACATTGTCAGGGAGGGATTTTAAAGAGGAATACTACAGCCAAGGGCTGACATCTTTTTTTTAGGGAAAAATAGCAGCCCCATAATTATCCACGCATTGGTCCCCCACCACGTGACGGCCAGGCCAATGAGGATTGAAAATGGCCTTGATGATTCAGACGCCGATGACGTCACAAGGGTCAAGTTGTTGCGAGCGGAGAAAACTAGCATAGAGCAACAGCGACATCTATCAGTCTCTGCCGGGTAGGGTGTCCGGGACCTTCACTTTGAACAAAGGAGAAAAGCCCCCCGGTTTGCGGGAGTTTGTTTACCAATGAACCAACGCGTGTCTACAGCAGAGCGGGGGGAAACCAAAAAAAAAAAAAAAAAAAGGGAAGCGAAAGCGCAAATACAAGCAAAGTCAAATCCAAATAAAAAGGTCAGGAAATAACCAACCTTAATCCCCCTTCTTTGCTTTGCCTTGCCTTTCTTTCCCTCTTTTGCCTGAAATAAATCCAATTTCTAGTAAAAGGCAGAGCCCCCCCCCAAAAAAACCCTAATTCAATTTTCTCCCCCCTCCTTCCCCTTTCTCTTCTTAGCAAGATTCCCGGAGCTGCCCCCCCCCCTCTTTCTTCTGTAACAGAACTTGAAATATTTTAGTTGCTGTGGTTTGGGTTTTCATCGAACGTTGGGGTGGATTTTGTTTCTTGTTAACGGTGGGGTGGGTGCAGTTCTTTAAAGGGTGGAATTGTAGGATCGATGCCTCTCGAGACCTCTGCTTTGTTTTTTAAAATGTATTTGGAATCAGGAAAAATATATAAAAAGTTTCACCGAGATGGTTTCAGTCTTTAATTTCGGTGCTTTTTGATCCCCGCATGTCTAAAATAGTCCTGTGTGCATATTTGGAAAGCAGTTTTTTTTTAATTACCAACAAAAAGCCGTTTTCTTTTTTATTTCCTCTTTGTGTGTGTGTATGTGTGTGTGTGTGTGTGTGTGGTATGGATAAGCGTTGCATCCCTCGAAATAGACTCTGAAAAGACAACGTTTTTTTAAAAATAATCCATTTCCAATGTTAACTGTCTTAAGTTTCTTTGCTAAAATCGCGTCTGTGATATGCACAAATCTTGCAAAATAAATGACTTCGTGGGGAGGAAAAGGGTAAATTTGATAAATATGATCGATCTTTAAATACAAAGGGACAACATTGCGATGGTGGGGGTTTGTTTTACCTCTTCAGGAAATAACAAAAAAATCAAAATTGTATTTGACCAAATATTTAGTACATGGATTTCCCAAAACAAACTTCCCGATTTGGTATGATTTTTTACTGTGGGGATTAAAAGAAAAAGTTTGTTTCTTGACAGATGATTTCCCCTTCCCCATTTTGTTAAACTATTTCACTGTTATGTGGGTTTAACTTTTTTCCCCATTTAATTTAACGACCACAGAACAATAACTACTATTCCAAGTGGCGATGGAATTTTTACCTATGTGTTTTCCTTTTGCCTCATTTCTTTACTGGACAGTTTCTAATGTCGTGTAGCAATTAAGATAAATTGTTTTAGTGTATATTAATTTTACTAGGGGGAGGCAATCCTACTTACATAACGCTGATTTTAGGTTAGGCGAGAAGGGGACTAGCGTATAAATAAATAAAAAGAAAGAAAGCCTCGAATTTCAAGATCATTACAACCGATTGGAAAGACACACTGGTTCAGAGTCACTTTCAAGGGGAAAAAAGCCATCCCCACGACCTTTCATAAGGGAGGGGAAAAGGAGCAAATCCGGGGAAAAAATAACATAGAAATATGAAAAATTGAACCGGACCATTTTGCGTAATTTGTAGCGCTTTAAAGTGTAGATTATTCAGACTTCTGCAACCATCTTTCCCCAAGGTGTTACAGAACTATTTCACAATTCCACTCTGCTTTAACTTTCAAGAGACTTGCAAACCTTCTCTTCTTCAATCCTCCAGTGTGACAAATTTAAATCTCTTAGGCCGAGACAGCCTAAAACTGCATTATACAATTTTGTATCCCCCCCTCCCATCTTATACAACATAGTAAAAGGTTTCCTACGCTTCAGACGCCATTTGGTTCCCCTGGAAAGCTATTTGCGACTTTATTGCCTCTATTTGTGTTATCTGCATAGGTCTTTTAAAAACAGTTTGATAGAAATCGTTCAGTTTTATGATATCCAACGAAAATTCCACATAATATTTATAAGCAAAGAATAAAACTTTAGTATGGGAACCAATATTTTCTCATTTATAGGTGATGAAATTAAAGACCAACGCAATTTTGTATTATACTGCTTTTTCCCCCCTTTTCCCCCCTCTTCTACTTTATTTTTGCAGCTGATCTGGCTACCCAATAATTTATGCTGGTCAGTCAAACATTTCACATGTGCATTTCTGGGACACCAGAATTTGACCTTATAGTTTCCTGGATTGTCTGCCTGCAGATTAAATATGTTTTCCTGATTTTTGCAATGTATTCCTGTGCTTTTGTCAAAGGAAGATATTAATGCGTTGTATGAACCCTAATCAAGATTAAACTTAACATCAAATAATTTGAATTTTCTCTCTCTCTCAGACCCAGAAGCCTTTATAGAATCTGGAGCAAATGTCGTATCGGTGCGTGCTGTTGGAAACAGAAGATCTACCGTGGAAACCTCATATTTTAAGAATGTCTAAATGTTGTGTATATAAAATAAAGATTGACATTGTTAACTCATTTTGTGTACTAGCTTTTGCCAAAACTATCAATTTATGCAAATGTTTGAAAGATTTTAAACTCTCTTTCCAAGATGCTGCTCCAGAGCTTTTGAAACAAATAAGACAGCATACAGAAAAATAAGTTCAATCAAAAATAATATATGATTAAAAATTCAGCATAGATTTTGTTGTTATATTAAAAGAGAATCGAGGTTAGCAAGGAACACAGAGGACCTCTCCAGGAGACCGAATATTGTTTAAAGTTAAAAATAATTAGAAGTATGATAAACATGGGTCATTAATGGAAAAAGAAATAAAATTCATCAGCTTAAGTAGAACCCCCGTTGGGAAAAATGCTTTCCTCTAATTACAGAAAATAAATACGAACAAACGCTATTAAAACTTAAAAGGAGAGAGCCTATGTGTGTCAAAGACTTTAATAACCTACTTTGAATTTTACACACTTTTAGGAAAACAATATAGATAGATGCTGAATGTTCATACACACAAAGCACACTTTGGTGCAAATGTACATAGATGCCATAGATTCACAGAGATGTGTACACATGTTCATAGATAACTTTCTGTTTCACATAGACATTTGGAATAACCTGTGGTATTTTATTTATACAAGAGCTAAGAAACTAATGAAGTCTATGTCACATAAAAAATCTCTCTCTGTGTGAGTGTGTGTGCGTGCGTGTGTGAGAGAGACAGGGGGGCGGGGAGGGGGATCCCCCCTTTTCATGTGTGCCTTTCTCTCAATGCCTATGTATATGAAGCAAGCGGCTGATGTTCTGCTATTGTCCTTACTAGGAGGTTGTCCTGTTTTGAGTTCCAAAGGCAGATAATTGCCTAAAAATATCAAGAAATCAGCTAATGTGATTCCGCAGAACCTGTGTTCTTTGTTAGACACACATGGTACGTCTTTAAGGGAGGGGAAAAAAGACTCAAACAGCCCATTTTTGCCCTATGAATTTAAAATGCACGTGTATAATATCTCAAACAAAGAATATCTCAAACTTACACATACTATTTTACCTGCCCCCTTTTCAATCTAATTATTTAACCGAGAGTTATGCACAGAATTGCCTCTTATATCCATTGTATTTTTACCAACTTTTCATACATTTTTATTACAAACATTCATTTTCGCGTCTAGGAAGTATTTGGTAGCAACACTTTAATGATTACCTTAAATTTGTATTTCTGCCCGGTATTATGCCCCCATGTTGCAGCAGAAATAATTCTGATTTATGACAAAGTACACTGGAGTACAATAACAGTGATGCAAAAATAAAACCCACGCCTTTATATGTTGGCTTAGAAACTGTAAACTATCACCACAAGAAATCTATCAAACTTTACAATCCCTCTTATTCTACTTCCTTCTTTCTGAGTAACTTAAGTCATAGCATTATGGAATGATATTATGTTCCTTGAGGTGGCACTGAAAACTGTGTTTACGTTTTTCTACGCCCAACATAGCAGTCTTCAGACTCTAATATAGTGGTTTTAGTCTGGTTACCCTTTGATCACGAGGAGAAAATTTGAGAGAGTAATTCAGATACAGGCATGAGTGGTGCGGGTGACAGAAGAAAATAATAGTGTGCCAGGATTTTTTAAAAGTTTATTCAATGGGGAATGTTTCCTGTAATTTTCCAAATGCGTTAACAAACTTAAATGTTACACAAATAACAGGATTGTTCATATCAGAGGTTGTGAAGTCTGAGCAGTTGCCCTGAGAATCTAAATTCCTATATTCTTCTAAAGCAATAAGCGTTTGGGGCATATTTCATGATATGACTACTTTTGTAAGCTAAAAGGAGAGCTTAAAACGTTTTGAAAATTGGTGCATTTTACTTCTTGGGCGTATTCCTTTGAAAATAATATAATTAGTGAAAAAAAGTGTGTGGAAAAATCAAAAAGTAAAAAGACTTAAGTGCCTGCTGAAATGTTAAAACATACTAAATTAGAAAAATAGCAAAACATTCTGTCTTTGCACATAGGAAATCTGAAGGAAGTTGTATTAAAATGCTGGTATTTTGTTATCGTCGGCAATGCGTGTATAAAGCTGAAATTCCCATCTGCTAAGTGCTTCTAAATAAACATTTTTGTTTCAAATATAGATTTAACCAATTATCAGTCATTAGATGAGTGGTGGGATATTAACAATTCCACTTTTTCATAGGGGAAAAAAGCTATTTCAAAAAAATGGAATACACATGAATTTCCGCCCCTATTGGGTTGAAATATACTACAGATAATTGTTCTAGGATATGATCATTTTATTTTGCTAGATTCACCTAGATCTGAGAATATAGAATTAATAGTAGGTACAGTAGAATTACAGTAAATAGCACGAGGGTATACGAATATTTATCTACCTATCTATCTATATTCGGAGAATTACTTAGTTATCTTTAAAGTCCGCAGCCTGAAATATAACCTTGAAACAAACACTCCTGTTTCCTTAAATACTTATTGTTTGCAAAACTGAATTGATTCAAAGAGATTCAGCTCTTTTAACAACCATTTATACAGAAACATACAGTTTATATCAACCACCTTTTAAAAGCACTGGAACCGATGTGTTTAAGAATGTATCACTTAATTCCTAGAAAGGTATTAAGCCCTCTTTTTAACAATTAAAACGAACGAATTTGCCCAACTACTTGTAGCGCATAAACAACTGTAATGTTTATATTAAAGTCTGTTCTTTTGTCTAAAACTAATAAAGTCTTTTATGGGCTCCATCAGCTATATGCTATATTCTAATTCATAAACTAAAGATTAAAAAAGCCTTATGAGGTTGCAAACCACATTCTTGTGGTTTCATGTTGTAATTTAGAAGTTATCAAAAGCAGAAGAACGTGCTTAAATCTAACATATGCTGTGCATCCGTATATTTTCCAACTTTATTAAAGACGGATAAGCAAGGCCTTAATGAGACGCCATTTTGGAAAAAAATAATATAAGTCAGGTTTTAATTTTCTCTTTGATAGCAAAGAGGCACTCAGCCATGCACGCTAACCAGAAGAAGTAGTTTGGCTTTTTTTGTTTTCAACTCTAGTGTCAGTTACAAATGCTTTCATTAAAAACCAGAATTACTTTACAAAAGTGAATCCCCCCCCCCCCCCATGGTAGAGCCCGCACGATATTTCAACACCAAATTATCTGCCCTCCACCCAGAAGAGGGGTAAACCAGGAGGGGAAAAAATAATGGCCATTCCAAAATGTTACGACTCACGAGAGTCTGCAAGACAAGGAAACTGGGAGAGCAAGCTATTTATTTACATTGTACACAGCCCTGGCTCTCTGTCGGGCTTAGCTATGACTCCTACCAAAGTTACTCGCACACAAATAAATTAATTCACCCTATGATCCACAGGCGAAGATTAGCTCAACTGATGGTCGCTTCCAATCCACTTGCCAAAGCCAATGTCTTTGTTCTTCGGATTTTCTAATCCCATTTTTGCCAAATTCCAAGGCAACGTCAAACCCATGAGGAAAGTGCAAATGGTAACAGGATGGCTTTCCCTCATGGCTATTGTTTGCCGGTCTTGCTGAGTTGCTCAACAGAGTAGTTTATTTACATGTCACCAAAGAGAACTCGCCCTGAGAGGGCCGCACTTATCACACAGTCAAGTTTACGTTCCTCAACTCAAGAACTGTTAGGAGAGTGTGCATGTGAGAGTGGGTTGGTGTCTTTCTGCATGTGTGTGTGTCGTGTGTATGTATATATGTGTGCGTGGTGTGTGAACAGCCTTGTCTAACATAACTACAGTCCCTGTACACTTTATTCCTGGAGGGCATTTGCAGTTCTTTAAAACAAAACAAAAAATCACCTGCATTTTCTGCAAAAGTGGAAGTGATTTCCCCTGTATGGAAGCCAACTTAAATGTACGTTATTATTCTGCAAAAAAAAGCCAATTAGAAGTTTGCTCCCTCGCCTTCTTCCCCCTGTGCAATATTTCACAACAAAGTAACCTACAGCAGCTTCCAATATGTTGTGTTGGGAATCCAGGGAGGAATAGGAAACAGGTCGGGTGTTTGTACGTCACATGGAAAGGTCCTTCACAATTAGTCTGTGTGTCATTAACGTAACTATACAGCAAGCTCCCCCAGCCTATGAGGGAGCATTTATTGTGATGGACATTAGATGGAAATAATAATAAAAAAAAACTTGTAAAACTTTTATGCCAAACAAAGTTATAAAAACTTTTCATGCGTTAAGATATCAAAAGGTTTATAACAATAATAAAGCGTGTGTGCTGTGTGTGTGTTAAAGCTTCTTCGGCATGCAATGAACGCGGCGAGGTTGAGTTAAATATTAGCTCATCATAAACGCCACATTTGGCCCAAAATTTGAATTTAAATAAAAATGTGGGTTCTCCTCCGTTCCACACCCCGTGGCCCCCCTAATTCTTTCTCAGGAGGCGGGGACACAGAAAGCCTTTCTGATTCCGCTTTATTACAAAAGGGTTAAAGGTGATGGACTTGACTTTATTGAAGTTCAAAGACATCATATATTCACATTTTTCTTCCTGTGGACCTCTTTCCTCTCCCCTCCGCCGGTACAAGGAGCATAATCTCAATATACAGAACTCCACTTGCAGGGTTGGCCTTTTGCGGTTAAGTGTGACGATTTAAAAAAAAAATACATCACAGGACAACCAAATCAAAGCCAACTATTTCCAAATTCATCCAGTGTGGTAGCCAATCCATCCCCACTTCCTCACCTAGCTCCGCCACACACACACACACACACACACACACACACACACACACACACACACACACGACGACCAACCAACCCAAA